GTCTCTTTGAGAGCCCGCTCGCAAGAGAGCAGCTGCCCGGCAACCCCAAAACAATAAACCCTCCCCTCATAATAAGGCTCAAGCCATATTTTCTGTGTAAAAAGAAAATAAGACCCTGTCTTATTTTTGGGGAAACACAGTAGCATGAGATTAAAAAATTGCCGCGATGCAGGAACATTGCTTTTTAAAAAAAAGATATAAATAATTTCAAGTGAGACTTCATCTGATTTCTCAAGTAACATGAGAAGTAGGCAAAATGAAAAAAAAAGGGACTGAGAATTCCCCTTCAAAATCGCATGGTGCTGAGATTAACCAAAGTGATTAAACATGAAATCATATGGCTTAGAGCTGCTGTCCCAGATGGTGTAGGATTATCTAGCTTTTGAGCTCAGAGAAGAGCATCTGACATTTGAGTGTCGTCTTTTACCACTTTACCTGTTCTGTAGCTGACACTTTCTATGGAACGTATATGGGGCTAAATGAGGTAAAATGAATCATGGATTTTCACATAACATTCTAATTCTAAACACGGCAGACATTTAGTAATTCTGAATTTAATTCCTTCTTTGTGTGTGTGTGTGTATGTCTGTTTGTTCTATTTTTTTTCTTGCCAAGCCACCACTGACACTAGAATAATTGAAGTGCTCTGATTTAATTTTAGGAGTACTCTGTAAATCTATAATCCAAGGATGAGCATCACGTGGACCTCCAAGATGTTTAAATCTATCTCCCATCATTCCTAGCTGGAACTGCAGTGCTGAAAGATGATGCTAAATGATTCTATGCCCTGCCTGTTCTGTGTACCCTCAGGAATGCGCTGCTCTCTAAATAACATTACTGGGTAAACATATAAACAGTGTACTAAAATACGGATTTGCATTTATTTATCTGCTGACTTCTAGATGATTACTTCATCGTGCATCTTGCAACAGCTCAGCCATAATTTGTTAAGATTTCTAGCGTGCCAGCAGGACCCTTGTTATTCTGCCTGCAGGAAATGTCTATGCCTACTGTTCTGCAACAGATTTTTCTCTGATGTCAAGACAACCTCTTGACCTTGGTCCTTGCTCTGGCTGCAATAATATAGTGGGTGATCTGCCCAGCCTGTTCTATTTTTGACAGCACTTAACAGCACACATGGATCAAAAAGTGCCGGGGGAAGGGGGAAAGAGGGAGTGAACGATACAACTCTGAGAAGCTGATAGAGTACTACGGAGCCTTGGGCAGAGAAGAGCATTTGAATCAATGATGAAAGAAGGTTGTGGTTTACCTATGTGGAAAAAAAGAGGCTTTAGCAGAAATCCAGTCTGATGTGCTTTAGCTATGTCTGAATGCACTTAATGGCAGCATGGTGGAAGAGGAGCACTAAGAGATCTGAACTTAATTTAAAAGTTATTTTAAAAGGAAGCTGCTACCAAGCATGAAAAAGAAGGGCTAAGCATGACAGGCACATTCTGAGAAGTCAGGGAATAGCTCAAGACATAATTGAACAGAAACTGGAAGATGACAAGTACATAAATGTGTGTATAAAAGAAGGAAGAGATGCCCCAAATGAATTTTATAAGTGTGAGTGAGAAACTTTGTCACAGAATTTCAGCTTATGGTTTTAAACATGAAAGAAATATACAACTAAAGGTCCCTGTAACTGCCTAGGAGGCGATTTATATGTTACAATATAAGAATTCCTCTCTCTGGACTAGACCATCTAATCGCATTTCCACACCAAGAATTTTATGATCCTGAAATATTAAAGCAGATAATACCATAAGCCCATTAGCTCTTGATTCAACTGAGAAGAGACTGACAAAAATGTCACTCAGCTAAATATCTCTTCTGAGTTACCTAAAACCTTCATGACTATTAAGCTTCCCCACACTGCTTCCACAGCATTAAAAGCCCCTTGAAATTGTGAAGGTGAAATAATAGTGTTTGCTATTATTTGTTTCTCCCAATAACTGTAACTATATGTGTATGTTGTGCAATGGCTGAAGTTGGGATGAAAGAAAAATGCCTATGGGTCAGTGGTGGGATTCAAATAATTTAACAACCGGTCCTCTGTCCTAATGACCAGGTGGGTAGGCGGGGCTCATGTGACTATGTGGGCATGGCCAACTCAACTCATCATTACTCAGGTCAATGGGCACTTTGCCCTAGCTGTTACAATGTAATAAGGGTTAACCAGAGAGGTAGTTTCTGTAAGCAGGGCAATAAAGATTAAGCTACAAACAACACCAGAATGTTTCCTTCCTGCCTTCCTTACAGGATTAGCCCTGTAAAGCGGGAAAAAAACAAAAGAAACTTTCTTCCAACAACCGGTTCTCTGAACCTCTTAGAAAGTTAAGAACCGGTTCTCCCGAATAGGTGTGGACTGGCTGAATCCCACCACTGCT